AACAAGCCGCGCAAGGAGAAGCAGTCGACGACGTCGACCTCGGCGAAGGACGCCGACTCCTCTGCTGGCGGCAAGGGGCGGGACGATAAGACGGCGTCGTGCTCACTGGTCGGCGTCGTGGAGCCGACCGTCTCACTGGCGCCAGAGGCCGGGGAGGACTTCCAGGCGGTGGCGGCAGCTGTGCAGGCGAACCCGGCGGTGGTCCTGCTCGACAGCGGCTGCTCCCACCACCTGATGGGGACGAAGGAAGTCTTCGTCAACCTGCAGCCGAGCGGCTCCATCAAGCACGTGCGCGGCTTCAATGGGGCGCTGCAGGACGTCCAGGGCCGCAGCACCGTCGCCCTGCAAGGGGAGGCCGGGAAGCAGGTGCTCATCCCCGACGTGGTGTACGTCCCGGGTGTGCGGGCCAACCTGCTGTCGTCCGGCAAACTAAAGGAGCACGTTGTGAAGCTGCAGGAGGACGGCGACGGGATGCTGCTCGTCTCGGCAGCGGGAGAGGTGCTCGGTCGGGCGACGTACTCCGAGCGTGTCCTCTGCACCGACCTGCGTCCGTGCTCAACGAGGTCGACGTCGCCCACGGCGGAGGTTGTGGCTCTGCGGGCGATCGTCTCGAAGACGAATTCGACGCCGGACAGGATGCATGCGAGGCTTGCACATGTCGACATGGACACCATACGAAGCTCGGCGAAGCACGAGGTCGCCACTGGGCTGGACCACAAGTCGGCGACGGGAGCCGACTCACCGTGTGTCTCGTGCGTCGGCGGGAAGCTGGCGTGGCACACCTTCCCCGACCAAGGCTCTGACGCCGACGACGTGCTGGCCGTCGTGCACATCGACCTATGCGGGCCGTTCCGCGTGGCTGCCAAGGACGGCAGCTTGTACTTCTTGCTGCTCAAGGACCGCAAGTCCCGCTTCGTGTGGTTGAGGCCGGTCGCCAGGAAGTCGGATGTGCTGCTGGAGTTCCAGATGTGGCTGGTGTTGGTGGAGAGGCAGACGAAGAAGTCGGTGCTGATGCTTCGCTCTGACCGAGGAGGGGAGTTCATCGGGAAGAAGTTCACCGACTTCGTGGACGGACAGGGGATCGTCCACCACCTCCTGCCCGTACACCCCGCAGCAGAACGGCATGGCGGAGCGGGAGATGAGGACGGTGGTGGAGTCGGTGCGGACGATGCTGCTGCACATGGGCGTGCAGCACCACTGGTGGCACCTCGCTCTGCGGCAGGCCGTCTGGGTCCGCAACTGCCTCGAGAGGTCGACGTTGCCGCCGGGGACGACGCCGTACCAGCTGCTGGTCGGCCAGAAGCCCAGCTTGTCGATGGCGAGGGTGTGGGGCTGCATGGCGCAGTTCCTTGTCCCCGAGCAGCAGCGTGGTGGGAAGTTGAAGCCGAAGGCCAGGTGGGGCCTTCACCTTGGCGTGTCGGCGGAGAGCAAGGGCTGGGAGCTCCTCGACATCGACGCCAACCGGGTGGTCACCACGTCGGACGTGGTCTTCTACGAGGAGATGTCGCTGGCCGAGTGGAAGTTGGAGCACGGGTCGGTGTCCGGCCGAACGCCGTCCACCCCGCCAACCGACACCTCGTCGGCGACGCTGCCTCTGCTCGCCGAGGTCGGTGGGCTTGCTGCTGAGGACGACGAGGACGTCCGTCCTCCTTCCCCTCCCTCTTCTGCCCCTCCCCCCGTGGCCGACCTGCGCGGGCTGACCTCGGTGTCGGCCTCCGGCGATGAGGGGAGTAGTGGGACGTCGCCTTCGGCGCCGGCCAAGGGCATCGCCGGTGGCCGACGTGACGAGCGGCAAGTCGACGCGGGAGTGAAGTCGACGTTGACAGGGGAGGAGCAGGTCGAGGAGGAGCAGCCGACTTGGGTGAAGTCGGCAAAGAATGCAGCTGAGAAACAGCCGACAGGGGAGCAGGCAGCGGTGAAGCCGACCACGGAGCAGTCGGCAACCAGGCAGTCGACAGGGACGCCGACCACAGGGGAGAGGTCGACCAGAAAGTCGACCGAGGTGCAGCAGGACAACGAGGGCAGAGAGGACACCGGGGAGTCCACCAAGAGTGACGTGGTGGAGGTTCGGCCTGAACCTCGGAAGTCGGATAGACTTCGGAGGCCGCCGGACTTCTTCGTCCCCGCTGCCTTCACCACGGTGTACGACGTGGACGATGACGACGACCTGCTGTACGACGACGCCGAGGAGGATGAGGAGTTTCCGGAGCTCGACCCGGACATGCTGGCCGACCCCGAGCACCGTTGGGACATCTTGACGATGACGGTGAAGGAGGCTTTGGCAAGCTGGAAGGGCCCGGCGGTGAAGGCCGCCATGGAGGAGGAGATCCGCAGCCTCATCAACATGGGCACTTGGGAGCTGGTCGAACGCCCGCCGGGAGTCAACATCATGAAGAAACGGTGGGTGTTGACGACGAAGTACCACGTCGACGAAGGTGAGCTCGGCGTAGGCGTTGACCGAGACCGGCGTCTTCGGGGTGCGCCCGGTCTGCTCCTCGCCCGGTCAGGCGGAACCTCCACCACGCCACTCTTGGTTGACTCCTCGGCGTCCTCCTCCCCCTCGTCGTCTTGCTGCAGCTCTGTCGACTTCCTGGCCGACTTCTCCCCTGTGGTCGGCTCCCCTGCCGACTGTCCGGTTGCCGACTGCTCCGTGGTCGGCTTTACTGCTGCCTGCTCCCCTGTCGGCTGCTTCTCCTCGACTTGCTTCTCCTCGACTTGCTCCTCCTCTATCAGGTCGACTTGCCGCTCATCAATCATACGGGTAAGTAACGCACTTTCTCTTGGTACAAACCATATGGGTAAGTAACGCACTTACTCTTGGTACCAACCATACGGGTAAGTAACGCCCTTACTCTTGGTACCAACCATACGGGTAAGTAACGCACTTAGGGCGCGTCAATTCGCGCAGCATTTGCGAAAAAGGCTTTTGGCCTCTTTTTCGTCGATCTGGTGGTCGACATATCCTTCGCGAATTCTGACCACTTGGTCGACGGAAAGTCGACTAGGATCCAACCACCTGTTCCCCCAACTACAAATTTTACAGGTTTGATGGCCGATTTGCAGGCCGCCCTCAAAAGTTGTAAAATCTGCAGTCGTCTAATTGGCCGGAGTTCTTGCGACGGTGTCGCATATTCGAAATGAGGATTGGAACATTCTGCCAGCGGAGTCGGGAACAGGGAGTCAATGCGCTCTGTGCGGCTCCATTTACACACAGCTCGGCGTGCTTAAGTGCACGCACCCCCATTCATACCCAGCATTTATTTAAAGGGGTGGCTGAAATCATAACTCCAGTGCCCCACATGGACGTCTCGCTCATCCCCAATAGGTCCAGGCGTTTAGCGGTGGGACTAGTTCAGTGCGTCATTGTTCCTTGGATCACCACTGTGGGACTCTTGATCCCACTCCTTGTTGACTTCGCTGACGAGATAGAGTTCCAGGTTTTTTGGCGAAATGACCGCCAAATCCAGCGTGCGAGATGGATGGACCGCTTCCTCCATCTTTCGCCAGAGCATCTGTACGAGGCATTGCGCGTTGAGCGAGGAGTCTTCAGTTACCTGTGTCGCATCTGGGCTACACATCTCATCTCAACTGGGAAGAAAGCGTGCAATGTTACCCTACAGGTAGCAATGGTTCTTGTCAGATTTGGCAGCGGCATGACGTACCGTCAACTGGGTCTAATGTTTGGCTTCAGTCACGCGCATGCACACCAAGTATGCACCGCCTGGGTTCAACATTGACTACTTGATGGACGAATGGGTGCAATGGCCCGACGCGGACGAAATGGCCCTTGCGGAGGAGGACTTTCGGTGGGACAGCGGTATACCAGGCATAGTCGGCGCAATGGACGGGACCTACATTCATACGCGCGGCTGGAGTCCCCACTCCGAGGAGTTTAAAAACCGCAAAGGCTTTTTCAGTGTCATTTTACAGCTCATTGTCGACGCCAACAGCATAGTTTGGAGCCTGCTATGCGGATGGCCCGGCTCTGTGAACGATGCAAAAGTATTTCAAATGTCAAAGGCAAAAGAGAGGATTGAAGACGGACAAATTGGTAACTACGTGATTGTTTCTGATGCAGCCTACGGCCTAAAGGAATACACCTACGTCCCATACAGAGCAACCCCGGACCACCTCCTACCGGACGTACAGGCGGTCTGGAACAAGCAGCAATCTAGAGCGCGCATGATTGTTGAGCAGGTTAACGGGCGCCTAAAGACCAAGTGGCGCATCCTCGATGGCCGGATGGAATGCCATCGCCGTCACGTGCCCGCAACCGTGGCCGCCGTCGTCACTCTACACAATATTGAGATGATCTTGGGCACGCGCTACCGCATGGAAACGCCATACCCAAGGAACCGATGGTGGCTTCATGGTCCGGCCGCCGACCTTGAACACACGGGGAGCGAGATCGCATGCTTCACTCCTGTTCTTCGTCGGAATCGATTTTGCGCTTACCTTTACGCCTCGTGGCGTCTTGGTCATCCCGATCTTGTGCGTCCACTTCTCGGGTACGTTCGAAAAATTGGGTCATGGTCGTTTGTACTGCTGCGGTCAGCTCCCTTGTCATGTCCCTGCATACTTCATTGACCCATGCTCGCTTTGACTGCCGTCCGCGCCTCGGGAAAAAGTCGTCATCATCGTCTGCTCCCTCGTCCGGCCTTGCAGACGACGCACGCGCCCGCGACGACGTGCGTCCACTGCGGAGCGCACCACCTGGGCCGATGTTGAGTGAACCGTCCGGCTTGCGAGGACGTGGAGATCGGCGGGGTCGCATCGGAGTGGGAGTGGACGCCGACGGACGAACCGCACCCGCCGTCACGCCTCGAGAAGACCCAGCCTCCGTGATGACGTGCGTCGTCTGCAAAGCCGGAGGGGCCGACTGAATGGGTGGGGGATCTGTCGAGGCAAGCGGTAGGGGGGAGGGGACTGTGGTTTAGTTAGTTGTTCGGCTCGTTTTTGTAATCGGTGCATTGATGTGAATGTGTAACGTTAGAAAATAACTACTTACCGGACCCAATCGACGATGTTAAGGTAGGGGACATTCCAACATCAGAAAATAACGGCGCACGGGCCACACTCGCGGAAGGCGTCGCGGAGGCATGAGGGGCCGATGTGCCCACACCGTGTGACGCAGTGGCGGGTGTTGGTAGAGTGCCGGTAGCAGGAGCAGACGGATTGCCGCTCAGTGGCAGACTGCTCCGCTCCGCAGCTGACGAAACGTTCACGCCAGAGGGAATGGAGTCAGGCTGTGTCGGGGTGGGGACTGCTGCCTCAGGCATGAGGGTGTCCGCTTGAGAGGGCGGGAGCGAGGGGCCGTTGACAGAGGGAGCGGTGGGCCCACTCTCAACAACGGTGGTGGGCCGGACGGTTTCGCGGTTCCGCCATAACTGGTCCGCCAAATCGTGCCACACCGGTGCCCCTTCGGCAGCGCCTGCACCCGATCTCTCCATGATCGTGCGCCACCGTAGCCAAGTCGCCTCCAGACGCCTCAGTTTTGGACGCAACGCCGACACCGGATGACGCCACGTAGATTTGCGGGCAAGCAGGTTACGATGCAGTTTAAAAAATTGATTCTCCCCTTGCATGCCGCGCATGCCAGACCAGGTGCCGCGCAAGTCGAACCTCTCCTGAATGAGCAGAAACTCGTCATCTTTAGACCACCGTGGCAGAGACACCCTGGTAGCATTGGTTGTAGAGGTCCCGCCAGGCGCGGACTCGGTGTTTGTCCTCCCGATGTTAGGGTCGAGCTCCTCATCGTCGTTAGCGGAGCACAGCTCTGGAGCTTCCTCTCCCACTCCGTAGTCCTCGAATATGCCGTACGGTTCGTCCGGCCTTGGTAGGTTGTTCACCCACCAAGAGGGGTTGCGCTCCCAGGGGTTGACATGACGGCGGGATGACTCGCCGACAGTTGGGATAGATGGCGGCTGTGGGTCGTTAGTAGAGACCTCAGTGTCTGGCAGGCCTGCAGGGTTGTCGCCAGGATTACGGGTCTCTGTGGGTTGATCATCTGCGTCGGAAGCCATTGCTGTTGTGAGTGACTGGGTTGAGTTGTGGCACATCTGTATTGTCTTGTCATGTTGGCAAATGTGTCTTACGGTGCTGGAGTAGTGGTCGATGCGCGATATGGGTCATCGAAATGAAGTGGAGCCGCGGGACTCATTTCGGGCCAGGACCGTGCGCCTGTTCCGCGGGACGTTTTGGATGAATTAGGGGGAAGGGTGTGCCACGTAGCGTTGCACGTAGATCTGTGCGACGCGCAACCACTCTGTCGCAACGACGCGTCGGTTTCGTGGCCGCTTCGGAGTCGACACGGTGTTGAATCAGAGTCGTCCTGTTGAAACGGCCATCTGATTCGCCAAAATTTGGCGAAATTAGCGATATTCGCTACAAAATTAACGAACATCGCTTACTGGTAACCTTCGCAAATCCGTCCAGACGGATTTCTGAAAATTTGAGTGTTGCGCGAATTGACGCGCCCTTACTCTTGATACCAACCATACGGGTAAGTAACGCAATTACTCTTGGTACCAACCATATGGGTAAGTAACGCACTTCCTCATGGTACCAACCATACGGGTAAGTAACGCAATTACTCTTGGTACCAACCATACGGGTAAGTAACGCACTTACTCTTGGTACAAACCATATGGGTAAGTAACGTACATAATCTTGGTACAATCCATATGAGTAAGTTACGCACTTACTCTTGGTACCAACCATACGGGTAAGAAACGCACTTTCTTTTGGTACCAACCATATCGGAAAGTAACGCACTTACCCTTGGTACCAACCATATGGGTAAGTAACGCACTTACTATTGGTACCAACCACATGGGTAAGAAATGCACTTAGTCTTGGTACCAACCATACGGGTAAGAAACGCACATACTCTAGGAACCAACCATACAGGTAAGTAACGCACTTACTCTTGGTACAAACCATACGGGTAAGTAAGATACTTACTCTTGGTACCAACCATACGGGTAAGTAATGCACTTACTCTTGGTACCAACCATACGGGTAAGTAACGCACTTACTCTTGATACCAACCATACGGGTAAGTAACGTAATTACTATTGGTACCAACCACACGGGTAAGTAACGCACTTCCTCTTGGTACCAACCGTATGGGTAAGTAACGCAATTACTTTTGGTACCAACCATACGGGTAAGTAACGCACCTAATCTTGGTACCAACTGTCAACGGGAGTTGTATGTTGGCCCCGTCCTCGCTTGGGCGGAGCCGACTTCGTGGTCGGGTGTGAGGGGAGCAACCGACCTGCAGCAGTGGGCGAGCTGGTTGACGAGGAGGTCGACCTGCACGGGGGCCACTGCACGGGCGCCGACTTCAGGGTGGCGCCGACTTCAGGGAGGTCGACCTGGGAAGTCGACCTGCGGAGGACGTCAACTTGGTGACGTCAACTTGGGGCAGCCGACTTGGGTGGTCGGCTGACAGGACTGCTGGTCGACCTGGTGGTTGGTCGACCAGGCCTGCTGGTCCACTTGGTGGTGGTCGACCAGGCATGATGTCGACCTGGTGGTCGACGGAGGAGGGGCCGACGTCGACCTCGACTCAGGACGCCGAGCAGCTGGGCGTCGAGTAGCAGGGCGTCAACTTGGTGACGCCGACTTCGGGTAGCCGACTTGGGTGGACGGCTGACAGCTGTGCTGGTCGACGTGGAGCTGGTCGACCAGGAGGGACGTCGACCTGGAGGTGGTCGACCAAGGGTGTGGTCGACCCGGTGAGGTCGACTTGGGGTGGTCGTCGACTTGGGAGGTCGACGGGCACATGCAGGAGCAGCTGGTCGACGTAGTTGCCCGGTCGACCAGGTTACCTGGGTGACGAAGTCCTGCGGAGGATTGTGACGGTCGCCCAGGCGAAGTTGACGAGCCCGACCTCGGTGGTGGTATCCCGAGGTCGACGTGGCTGATCAGATGCAGACTTCAGTGCCAGGTTGACTTGGTGTGTGCGCTGTGCAGGTGACGAGGCTCAGCACGCCAATCATCTGCTAGCACCTGCGAAGCTGGTGCGATGCTGTACTGCGGGAGCAACGCTGGCACGCCGTCAACCTGCGACGTTGGCACGCCGTCAACTTTGCACTGCTGGAGCGCGGTCGACCAAGTCGTGTTGGAACACGGTCGACCGTGCTGCGCTGGCAGTCGACCGACCTGAATGCTAGCTCTGATGTAGTCTTGCCATGCCAACTTCATTGTACCATTGTTGTCAACCTTCTCTAGTGAAACTCTTGCCAACTTGCCCCGTGAACTAGCAAGCAGTGTGTGCACTAGGAAAACGACTAAGGACCAACGAACGCAGAGATCACACGAGCACCCGTGCCTAGCCCATAGTCTAGCTCCCGTTGTAGTAGTTATCTCCGCATGGTGCGGTGAGCGTGGACGGCACACGACTTAACTTTCAGTCAGGTCGACGTAGACACCACTTACCTAATTCGTAGTTGCAGGCCGGCAGCTGTGCGGTAGTCACTATGGTAGGAGCCGTAGGTGACACAGGGGTGGTGGACACCCTGGAGGCACGGCTAAAGAACGCGAGGAGAAAGCACGAGGCCAACGAGTATGGCAACTTGCCCTGGGCGGTCGTCGAGGCTGGACTCCGCACCATGTGGGCGACGGAGCACCCTTCTCGACCTGCCTCTCCTCGTCCGGTGAACAACGAAGGCGGCGTCGACGTTGGCGTCAACGCTGGAGGTGGTCAAGTTGGCAGCAGTGCGGGAGGCACGTCGAGGCAGAGAGGTGTGATTCACGCCGATGAAGTCGGCGGCGTTCAGGCGAGAGGGGTGCAGTCGTCGGCGGCTGCAGGCTCCTCGCAGGGCGACGTCGGAGGACGACGAAGCGGTTTGTCGCCGATGTCGGCGACCCAGGTGACGGCGGGCGGAATTGCACCGAGCTACGGCTACTTCAAGTTTGCGCCGGACAGGATCTTGGTCACCCCGCCGCTCGTTGGTAGACAGGACATCCTCACCTGGAAGGAAGCCATCGAGCCCCAGCTGGAGATGGCCGGGCTGATCAACTTTGCCCGAGGAGCCGTGGTGACATCGGACGACCCCGACCTGCGTGCGGAGTTTCGCGCCGTGCAGCTGTTGACCTTCATGGTCATCTCGCGGTGCTGCTCGCTGGGCGTGCAGATCGCCTTGAAGTGGTGTCGGGAGTACCTTGACGCCGGCCACCAGGCGTGGCACTTCATTGAGTCGACCTACCAAGTCACCGACGACCTGTTCATCGCCCAGCTGGAGGGCCAGTTGACGCACCTGCGTATGGGCGACGAGGAGACGGCGACCGACTATTGCAACCGGGCCAGGCGAATTCTCGCCACCATCAGGATGGCCGGCGCGCAGTACTCGACGGCGTCGTACGTCACCCACGTCATGCAGGGACTTTCGAGCAACTACAACCTCCTGAAGCGGCTGTCAATGGCGCCGGGCACGAGGACGACGCTCAACGAGGACAACTTGACCTCGTACATCCTGCATGACGAGGGGATGCAGGAGGCAGAGCGGTCACAGGAGCTCTTGGCGCAGGCCAACTTCGTCGTCCCGGCGAAGCAAGGAGGTCGACCAGGGCAGCGCAGACAGTCTGGCGGCGGAGGTAGCAGTGGCTGGAAGTCGACCAAGGAAGTCGACAAGAAGAGGTCGACCAAGGACAGCGGTCGAGGAGGAGGAAGTCGACGTCGGGAGTGCTGGCTGTGCGGCGACCCCGACCACCTCTCCTTCGAGTGCCCTGACCGCAGTGACTCCGACGACGACGACGCCAAGGGAGGCCGCTGGAGGTCTGGAAGTCGTCGTCCTCGTCGAGGAGGGAACAAGCCGCGCAAGGAGATGCAGTCGACCAAGTCGACCCCAGCGAAGGACGCCGACTCCTCTACTGACGGCAAGGCGCGGGACGACAAGACGGCGTCGTGCTCGCTGGTCGGCGTCGTGGAGTCGACCATCTCGCTTGCACCGGAGGCCGGAGAGGACTTCCAGGCGGTGGCGGCAGCTGTGCAGGCGAACCTGGCGGTGGTCCTGCTCGACAGCGGCTGCTCCCACCACCTGATGGGGACGAAGGAAGTCTTCGTTGACCTGCAGCCGAGCGGCACCATCAAGCACGTGCGCGGCTTCAATGGGGCACTGCAGGACGTCCAGGGCCGAGGTACCGTCGCCCTGCAAGGGAAGGCCGGGAAGCAGGTACTCATCCCTGACGTGGTGTACGTCCCGGGTGTGCGGGCCAACCTGTTGTCGTCCGGCCAGCTGAAGGAGCATGGCGTGAAGCTGCAGGAGGACGGCGACGGGATGCTGCTCGTCTCAGCAGCGGGAGAGGTGCTCAGACGGGCGACTTACTCCGGGCGTGTCCTCTGCACCGACCTGCGTCCCTGCTCAACGAGGTCGACGTCAACCACGCCGGAGGTTGTGGCCATGCGGGCGATCGTCTCTAAGACGAATTCGACACCGGACAGGATGCATGCGAGACTTGCACACGTCGGCATGGACACCATACGGAGCTCGGCAAGGAACGAGGTCGCCATTGGGCTGGACCTCAAGTCGACAACAACGGCCGACTCACCGTGTGTCTCGTGCGTCGACGGGAAGCTGGCGCGGCACACCTTCCCCGACCAAGGCTCCGACGCCGATGACGTGCTAGCCGTCGTGCACATCGACCTGTGCGGGCCGTTCCGCGTGGCTGCCAAGGACGGCAGCTTGTACTTCTTGCTGCTGAAGGACCGCAAGACCCGCTTCGTGTGGGTGAGGCCGGTCGCCAAGAAGTCGGATGCGCTGCTGGAGTTCCAGAAGTGGCTGGTGTTGGTGGAGAGGCAGGCGAAGAAGTCGGTGCTAATGCTTCGCTCCGACCGAGGGTTTAAGGTGGTGTTGACTCCTCTCTCTACAACCTCGGACCCGAGGATAGGGGCTGGTCTTGTACCAGGCACCCAAGGACCCTTGGAGGTGACCCAGAGGAGAGGTTTTATGTTTGATAAAGTCTTAATAGCTTGAGTTTATTAGGCACTTACACCAACAAGCTGGTATCAGAGCTGCGTTATTGTGATCCTCGTTATAGGTAGCTATGGCGGGCAACACCTCGACGGGAGCTGGTGAATCTTCAGCCCAAGATCGTAGCAGAAGCCAAGATTCTGGTGTTTCAGCGCCAAGGGGAGCGCGAACAAACCAGGGC